AACACTTGAAGAAGGACGGAGAACGTAGCGGTAGAAGCGTGTGATAATAACAACAAAGACGAGGAAAGAAGTCCGAGTGTAAATATTGTAACTAATAAATTTTTTTTGCATTATGCTGGTGATTGGTTGTTCTGAACGCTCACCATTTTGAATCAATACTCGACCGGCCCTGAAATGCCTCAAAACCCTTGTGATTCTTAATTTCGCATGTAAAAAGTTGAAATCTGTAGTATTGTATTTTTTGTGTGGCGTCTTAAGGTCCATCCCATATAACAACCCAGAGTATACCCCCAGTTTAGAGTAGAGATTTACTTGAAAGCCACTGAGTCAGGTTGTAACACAAGGTCGGTTTTTAACGTGGGGCCCGAATGTTTCCACTCGGGTCGCTAGTCTATGCTGGTCTTAGCTTGTCCAAGCTTGTTTGATCTCGTCTAAGCTAGTCATAGCCGTGATACCACCAGTACCAGGTAAGTAGAGATTTACTTGACACTGAGTCAGGTTGTGACACAAGGTCAGTCTTTAACGTGGGAACCCGAGTGAAAACAATTGGGCCGATGGTCCAAGCTGGTCTTAGCTAGTCAGAGCTTATCCAAACTGGTCAGAGCTGGTCTAAACTAGTCATAGCTGGTCTTGGCTTGTCATAGCTTATCCAGACTGGTCATAGCTGGTCTAAACTAGTCATAGCTGGTCTTGGCTTGTCATAGCTGGTCCAAGCTGGTCAGAGCCGGTCCAAACTATTCTTAGCTGTGATACCACCAGCACAGAGACGGATCCTTGTGCCAGGTATCACCCCCAGGTTAAAGTATACCCGGGCTAGGCTGTTTTATACACGTGGTTCAAGTTACGATAGGCAACTTTATAAGCCAGGGTACAAAATGGGATAGATTACGTTATACACACATAAGCCAGAATATACCATCCACTTTTTCCATGTAATATATAATTGCATAGGGATGTTTATGCACAGGGCTTAAGTTAGGCTAGGAAAGTTTATACCCCATTATGCACAAGGAGCTAGGCTATATTATACACTCATAGGCCAGAATATATCATCGGCTTTTGCCATGTAACGAAATATATATTATTGTATCCACAGTTTATTCTGTTTTATATACGTGGTTTAAGTTAGGCTAGAAAAGTTTATACCCCATTATGTACAAAAAACAACAAAAAAAACAAACCAAAAAAACACTAAAGAATATCAGCTAAAATTTGAGCATTTCGTGGGTCCCGGTAGGAAATTTGTCAAGCTTCACGCAAAAATCTCAGATCTCAGAGCCGTTCCAACATAACGATAAAAATACTTTGTTTAATAATTGAATACTAGTAGTATAATAGAAAGCCTATTGTATATTCTGAGTCAGTAGACATGTAACTAATGACTTGGTGTCCATTACCATTAAACTCTGTATTAGCAGGTCACACGTTCTTGTTTGTTGTGGTGCAATAAATATCGGCACGGAATGAGAAATCGGAGAGCTGAGTTCGAATTCCAGTCGGGTTCGTTACATTCACTTACGCATAAATACACTTAGGAAAGGTATGAATCAAGCTCTTCTACCCCAGCTTTGGACTGAATAGCAAGACAGACCGGGTCCTATAGACGTAGTCGGTGACCAGTCTAGCACAGAAAATCTTCTGCCTAGTCAATCATGAATCGAAAGACACGTCAAGCGTGTAGCTGACTGACATTCTTGGAACGTTTTCATAATTTATCAGCATCGAAAGAAGGAGTTATCATTATTTACATGCGGACTATTGGCCTTATCTCTGTTGTTGTTATCGCAACGTTTCGGTTGTTTTGCCCACCGGCCTTCATCAGGTGCTTGTTGATCGGGGTAACCTTCAAGGAATTTTGAACTGAATCCTTTATTTAATCTACAGGGTTGGATTGTTCGCGCTTTGCAAACAATATACAGGGAATGCCACAAGGCTCAAAAGTCGTCATTATGAAATTTACCAATGGCCTGCTTAAAACATTGAATAGTTTATATATGAAGTCCGGTCAAAAAGTATCGGGACTGTTGCCATCGTAGCGAAGCTCAAGTACCCAGAGAGAAGCTGCTTGACACATATTGACTTTGAACTTTGTCGAGCATACACACTAAGTTATAATATTTTCGCTCACTTGCCTTTTTTATAACAGTGCTTGGAAGGTAAGTGTGTAGAGTGTGGTCGTCTCACAACATTATAGAGGTTCCATGAGTGACCATGACTTGGGCAGTAGTTTTTGACCAAAGACGACATTTCCCAGTTCCGACAACCACCATATTTCCGAAATATATCCCCTTGCATCTTTTTCCTCTTCAGAAATCAAATCTCACTTGAAAGGAACAAGATTTCAAGATGACGAAGAAATCTAAGAATAATGCGACGAGACAGATACTTATCCCCAAAAACGGAGTTCTAGGAATGCTTTCATCAGTGGAACCCACGGTGGATAAAGATGTCACTTCAGAAGGGGATTACTTCGAAGGAGATTAAATGCTGAATTGATATGTGTTGTAGTTTTCTTTTTATAGCACGTTTAGCAATCGAAACTTTCTGTTCGTTTTTTTAATATACTTCCTATAATTTTTCGAATGTTGGAAGTATCGTCCATTTTTTTCGTTCCTTTTGTAGGAGACGCAAAACAAATATTTCTTCCCACCAAAACCAAGTTTTTATCACCATATTTTAAATTTAAGGAGAACTACGGAAAAGAAGGATTTTCCCATTTTTGGATAGAATATAAAACATTAATTTACACACCGGGGGGGGGGCGACGTCACACTTGTTTATAACAGTGCTTGGAAGGAAAGTGTGCAGAGTGTGGTCGTCTTACCAGACCATAAAGCTTACAACAGTGACCATTTCTTGTGCAGTAGTTTTTGACCAAAGACAACATTTTCCAGTTCCGACAACCACCATATTTCCGAAATCTATCTCCTCTTCAGAAATCAAATGTCACTTGAAAGGAACACGATTTCAAGAAGTCGAAGAAATCTAAGAATAATGCGACGAGATAGATACTTGTTATCCCCCAAAACGGAATTCCGGGCATGATTTCATCAATGGAAATCGCACTGGATAAAGATGTCACTTCAGAAGGAGATTACTTCGAAGGAGATTAAATACTGAATTGATATGTGTTGTAGTTTTCTTTTGTAGCACGTATAGCAATCGAAGCTTTCTGTCTGTTTTTTAATATATTTCATATAATTTTTCGAATGTTGGAAGAATTGTCCATTTTTTTTTTCTAGCAATTTTGCTTTTAGCGTTATTTTTTGAATATCGTAGGCTGTAACTTAAGATTCTAGATTGATTGTTTTATCAACCTTTTGCAGGTTATTTAAAGCCAAAAAATATTTTTAGATTTTAAGAATTCTCTGGAGGTAATAATGATTTACTGATACAAATCCTACTAATTAATCCATAGATGGGGGAGAAGAGGTACCTTCATACATTTCCCAAGGGTATCTGGGCGTAATCGAACCCGATTGTAATTGGCACTCAGATATCCGACTTCCAATTCAGACTCGTTATCCATTACACCATGCGCACCTGATATTCCCAAGTGGTCACCTAGCTAGGTACTGAAAGTCTCGGCGTTGCTTAACTTCGGTGATATTACGAGAATCGGTATTTCAACCTGTTGTGGTCGTAAGACTTGCATTTTAAGAAAAAACGTTAAATGGGAGGCATAGTGTAATAATGGATTGAGGAATCGGAGAGCCGAGTTCGAATTCCAGTCAAATCTATTACATTAACTTACGTGCTAATACGCTTGGGAAAGGTATGAATTCTCTTCTTCTCCCCCCAGCTATGGATGAATAGCAGGACAGACTGGGTTCTATAGCCTTGGATGGCAACTGGTCTACCGCAGAAAGAAATGGCAACCTACTGTGGGAAAAAATCTGCTTCATCAGTCATGTATCGAAAGATACATGATCGCCTAAGCGTGTATGACGCATGGCACATAACTGTGATTATCACTTCCGCACTAATCCCCTTGGGAAAAGTATGAATTCTCGTCTTCTCTCCCCAGCTATGGACAAATAGCGGGACAGACTGGGTTCTATAGCCTTGGATAGCAACTGGTCTACCGCATAAAGAAATGACAATCTACTGCGGGAAAAAAATCTGCATTGTCAGTCATGTATCGAAAGATACATGATCACCTAAGCGTGTATCCCGCATGGCACATAACTGACTGACGTTAAATGAGCATCGTTCTTTTTGGCTTCTGTAGGGTGGGGGGATCAATTTAGAATGAATCTGCATAGAAAACTGAACCTTCAATTAAATTATGTACATTTTAATAATTTTATTTTTATATTCGTAATCTGATGTGTGTTAAACTGTAGCAAGATGAAACACTAAATTGAAAAACAAAAGTTCTTGTCGTAATGTTTCTTGTACAAATCCACCCTTTGACAATTTCTAATTAATCAGTTATCGCAATTACATCAGAGATTTCTAATTAATCATATCGCTTAATCATAATTAATCATTAAGTCGATTATATATCATGATTGTAAATAACATTCCTAGAATCGTTTTATTATAATGTATTAGTTCAAGAATCATTTACCGTACGCACACACGCATGTCATATGCATAAAATGTTTTATATATTTCTAATTAAGTTAATACAGAATTCAGTCAATGACTTTGTGTTCTCACGTCATTCGCGATTGTTTTATTTTCAACTTTTGCAGTTATTCCGTGATGCTATTGGCAAAGCAACATGATTGGATTTTGCAGATAGATTTTGCGAATGAATCCTCATCCATTTTCAGGACAGTGAGTTGCTGTTCCATTTACTGATAGAAATTCGATGTCGTGATGTAACGTTTGACATAATATATCTTTTGGTTTTACCGTCGGGAATGTTGGTGAAAAATGCCACGTTTCCGGAATGATTGGTTCATTTGTATAAATATTGCGTCCAAATAAATGGATTTATCTTGGTCCATATTTAAGTAAATATTATACGCAAGCATATTTACGTATCTTAGGTTCAGACTAATCATTTCCCTCGTGTTTCTATCTATCTATCTATCTATCTATCTATCTATCTATCTATCTATCTATCTGCTCATAAATCTATCTATCTCATTTTGTTTATATCCCTGTCTATCTCAGTCTGTTTATAACCCTATCTATCTATCTATCTATCTATCTATCTATCTATCTATCTATCTATCTATCTATCTATCTATCTATCTCATTTTGTTTATAACCCTATCTATCTATCTATCTATCTATCTATCTATCTATCTATCTATCTGAGTTTGTTTATATCCCTAAATATTATCAGTCTGTTTACAACCCTATCTATCTATCTATCTATCTATCTATCTATCTATCTATCTATCTATCCTGCTCATAAATCTGTCTCATTTTGTTTATTTCCCTGTCTATCTCAGTCTGTTTATAACCCTATCTATCTATCTATCTATCTATCTATCTATCTATCTATCTATCTGAGTTTGTTTATATCCTTAAATATTATCAGTCTGTTTACAACCCTATCTATCTATCTATCTATCTATCTATCTATCTATCTATCTATCTATCTATCTATCTATCTTTGTCAATATCTGTCACTCCTTGTTAGTTTTCCTATTTAGTGATCTTTCTTTGCTCAGCCAACTTTCTGTTCCCCTTTAACAAAATTAAGGGCTTATAATAGCGCGCCATGAATTTCTCACCAAAATGAAACAGTAAATAAATAAAATCCACTTTTGAAAGCGTTACTTTGATTCATCAAAATGCTGGCGACCTTCAATCGACGTCGAACATGCATATTAATTTTATCGTCAACCAAATTTCCGCAAAGGCTGTTCACCCTGACTTCTAATCCACGTTTTTTTATTCCCCTACAAATCGATTACTCTACCTTTCAAGTTCTCAAATCTTTGATCGGTTATTGATCTGAGGGACAAGCATGTCCTGTAATCAGTTCCTTTCATTTACTATTACACTTTGTGCACATTAGACTTTTTCTTTTTCGCTAATTTTCGAATATACATACATGCATACATATATATATATATATATATATATATATATATATATATATATATATATATATATATATATATGTGTGTGTGTGTGTGTGGAAAAGTGTATATAAATATAAATGATATATATGTATAATTATTTATATATTATATGCGCGGTACTTATTAGAAAGCGCTCAATATCAGAGATAGAGCTAACATATTTGGTTGGATAGATGTGAGTTTATGACCCTGGGTTTCACGCTTTACTGACGATCGCCAAAGCGTGAAAGCAGGGTCACAAACTCATCTATCAACAAATATATATATATATATATATATATATATATATATATATATATATATATATATATATATATATATTTTTTCGCTAATTTTCGAATATATATATATATTCGAAAAAGTATATATATATATATATATATATATATATATATATATATATATATATATATGAAGATGATTGACAGGTACTGCGATTTAGCTTATTTAATTTTTCTTGCGTTCCAAACGTAATCCGCAACAAACATGTAGCAAATGCAAATATAATAACCTTCTCCGCATGTAAAAAAAAAACTAAAAATAATACAAGCACTAATAATAAACAAAAAGCCAACATTCAATAACATCAACAAATGAACACGGCCACAATATGCTGACCGTGTTTCTAAAATAAAAAAAAATCCACTCTAGAAAGGCATATAAAAAAAATTAAACATTCAATTAAAAATAAAAACAACAGCCTTGATAATGACTAATAGAATAGCCGAAATCGCTCAGATATATAGAATATTAGGACAATTTTTGCAAACTTAATTACAGTACCTTGTTCGTCGTTTTAAATGAAACTTGTATAAAGGAGATATTGCTGTCCAAATACACAATAAAGAATCATGTGAGTAAAAGTTTGTTTCTTATCTGATTGATGCTATCTTCAGCATCAAAAGTTTCATTAAAATCGACTGATAATCGACTGTAAATAAGTTTTTTATTTAACTTTTCTTGTTCTGCATGTTCGAGCGTCTTCGGCTATACTTTTAGCCATTATAAAGTATGATTTTTGTTTTTACTTTTAACTGGATGCATAGATTGTTTATTTGCATAAAACAAGCCATGCACTCACTTAAAAGTAAAAAGAAAGAAATTGTTGGGATTGCTATGAGTTTGAATTTGTTATCAGAAGGTTTTTATATTAAGGTGGTTAGTTTACGGGCATGTTCACCATATTAATCCACAACATTATAGAATCTAGGCATTCAAAAACGAATCAATTACAAGGCAATTGAGGTAAAAACACCAGTAATTAGGTTTCAATAAAAACAACAGATATTTATGTACAATTATTATACAATTAGAAAACATGTGGTTTGATAATGCAAGAATTGACCATGTATAAATTGGGTGTCTTATTGAATTACAGTTCAAAATTGTTCAAGTGTTAAAGAATTAGTCAAACAGAGTAAAATGGAAAATGTTACTTATACAGAAATTTGTGGGCGTGAATAAAATAGAGTATAAATGTCTTAATTTTCTAGAGTTGTTTACATTGGATTGTTCTGTATTTATCTTTTGTTAAATACAATTTCTATTTTAGTAGTGTGTAAGAACACTTATAAAGTTGTAAGTGCATTTTGAGAGAATAATGTCGGTGTTTGAATCAGCAGTTGACGCTCAAAAAGTTTCTCAAGTCAAAATAGTGACAAGAGTGGATTCGTGTGACATCTCTCTGAAGTTAAGTGACTGACTGGTGAATTGGGTCGAACTTCTTTTTATTTGTTTCTGGAATCCAAAGTAGGCTCCAGTAAACTAGGCGCGAAAATAGATTTTCGACAATTGTTACACATTTTGGTGTCGTCTCGACCAATAAAAAAATCGAGATTTGCAATGTGAGGTGTTGGTTGGTTAAAACTGATTCTGATGGAAGAGTGTATTTTATCTCGGGGGTGAGTAGAAAATATGGACGATTCTATAAGATCGTTGCTAAATGTATAGACGAAAGCGCTCGAACCTACAGAACATTCAGGCAATTTCTACTTAATTTATATCCAAAAGATAAGAAAATTATAAGGAGATGAGAGAAATTAAATAAAAAGCTTCAACAAGAATATTTCTACATTGTTAATGTGGACAGGCATGCTGCTATAAATGTTGAGAGATATTAGATGCAACATTGTAATGAAAGCTCAAACTTCGAGACAACGTAGCAGTGGTATGACTAACATATATATATATTTTTTCGGTTGGAGATACAATTTCCCAAGGAACATTTAAATTTATATACAATGTTGATTTTCTGCAACACGTTAGTTGATGGGGAAGAGCCATTACCAATGATCAAATTGGATACATTGAATTTAGTATAGGCGAAAATTAATTTTATTTTTCTACTAGGATCTGTAGTGGAACATGCTGCCAAAATATACGCGATACACACACACACACACACACACACACACACACACACATATATATATATATATATATATTTACCTATATATATATATATATATATATATATATATATATATATATATACACACACACACTCACACACACGTATATATATGATATAAGAAAATGATTCTAAAATATTGCTGGCTTCTACGACATTAAGTGTCATGTAGACTCCCAATTTTTTATACAGTTGCCTCAAGATCTTCAGTTGTTGGATGAGAGCAATAACTGAGGATCGTTGCTTTATATTTGCTCTGTTTATATATATATTTATATTTAATGTGTACATTGTTCTTATAGCTTACTTATTTGTTTTATGATATATATATATATATATATATATATATATATATATATGAAGAAAGATAGTCTTAAGATGAGCTATATTTATGGGATAAAGTACTCCATATCAGAGATAGAGCGTGTGTAGTAAATATAAAAGTGAACATATAAGTCAACATTTAGAGGCGACAGTCCGTTTAATGCTAGATTCAATCGTCAGGCATGAAACAGACTGTCACCTCTAAGTGTTGACTTCTATGTTCACTTTTATATATATATATATATATTTATTTATCATTTATTTATTAAACAGCATATTTATTTATGTTCGTCTACAGGCCTGAATATTCGAGGAATCTCAGAGAAAAAAATATGTGCCCCGACAGGTTCCGAACCTGGGTTAATTATCTCGTCTTTTTGATAAAACTTGTTTAAATGAAAGTCATTTTTTTAAAAAATTAAAAAATATTCAATATATATATATATATATATATAGGGAGAGAGAGAGAGAGAGAGATAGATAAAGAGATAGATAGATAGATAGATAGATAGATAGATAGATAGATAGTACAGCAAAAAAACAAAAATTATCTCAGCATAGAGATAGTTTATTTCAAGGTGTTCTGTACACAGCTATCATCAGCCTCTAAGTGTCTGTCTCGGAGCATTGTTTTAAATTTAGTTTCAATAAATACTTAGAGGCTGATGATAACCGCATACGGGACGGCTTGTAATAGACTATCTTTATGTTGTGGTAATTTTTGTTTTTTTCTGTAATAATACATATGTTCTATTAAAATAAAGACATTGATCTCTCTGTGAATCAGTTTTAATAATCAATATTACTAGTATCCACCCGGATTATATATCAACGGATTGATTACCTGTAATATATATATATATATATATATATATATATATATATGACCTTATGTTTAAGAATATATATATATATATATATATATATATATATATATATAAACTTGTCTTTTTCGAATACACGCACACATATGTGTGTGTGTGTTTTGTTAATTTTCACACGTACGCACGAACACTCCCAGCTATGAATAGGAGCAGGTACTGCCTTTTAGTGAGGGAAGTTTCCATCAGTCAGCTCTGACAAAATGAACATTCTTGCTGTAACACTCTCATTTGTATATCTTTGTATTACTGTTTCTGCTAATCTATTTGTTTAACTCAATTCCTATCTTTGTGTCTTTATTTCTGGCCTTAACCAGGCTACAACAGTGTGTATTTGTGTGTTTTATTTTTTCATTCTATTTTTGTGCACGTTGTGGATAAATTGTGGATAAAGGACACATGGCACAGTGGCTAGATCCAGTGACAGGATCCAAAGAGTTGTAAGTTCAATACCTGCTTAAGGTGGTGGAGAACTTGGAGAGGTGAATTAACAAGAGATAACGGATAACTGACATCCATTAAACATGGCACGTGGAACTAGAACAATCTACCCCAGAGAGCGAAATAAAGGGTTCAGTTCGGCATTCCAACCACCCGAAGAAGGCCAGAGCGTACAACGGCTGAAATGTTGTAATAAATATGGCAACAAAGATGAGGAAAATAGTCCGAATAATGTAGATAGTGTACATAATACCTAATCTCAGAAATATAGACAGATACAGAAAGTCCGAAACGTTGTAATAAATATGGCGACAAAGATAAGTCCAATAGTCCGAATGATATAAATAGTGTACATAATACCTCATCTCAGAAATATAGACAGATACTGAAAGTCCGAAACGTCGTAATAATTATGGCGACAAAGATGAGGACAATAGTCCGAATGATATAAATAGTGTACATATATATATA